AGAGATACAGAAAATTAGTGAAGATTATTTAAAGTTTTACCTTTGTTGTAGGGCGGCCTTGTGGTGAATGGTACCTTATGTCGGGTTTTATGGGCACAAATCCAACCAACAACGGTTGACACTGGATTCACCAGAACTAACAAAACAAATTTTTGGCCACAAAATGCAGCAAGATCCGCAAAAGCGATATTTATCGTAACGAGAACACATGCTGCTAAGTCGACAATTCTCTTTTGTCTCTCGCGGCGAGGAGCACATAAGGAAGTAAGAAATGCCTAAAGACCAACAAAAAAAAAGGAAAGAAAAAGTCCGTTCGGCCCTATATAGACAGGGGACTTTATATTTACCTACCGACGATAATTTAATGAACAAATTGTAATATTTTTGGAAAAATATAACAAGTTAAACCATACCATAATATTTATTTAAAATAGAAAATACTTAAATACCCTAATTTACCTAAATACCTAGCTATTTTTAATAGGGACTAATATAAATTTAATTAAAATAGTAAGAAAAAAATAAGCCCGTAACAAAATGGTAGGTAACGAAAGTCTTTGAAGATATTTCCAAAATTTCATGTAATAAACGTTTTTTGGAGTTAGTTATGTATAACTAAATGGTCAAAGAATCGTTTTAAAGATATCCGCAATAAATACTAGGATTGTTGTTATAAAACTGTTATAAATAAAACACAGAAAATGATATAGTTGGACAAAATTTAGAAAATAATCAGTTTTGACCCATATTTGGGCGTTTTCACCCAAAAATTTCACTTTTTTCCGAAATTCATCGGGAAGTCATGAATTTTGACTACAGGATCGTGTACAGTGCAGTGAAAAAATTAACATTTACATTTGCATCCATCGATTTGAAACACGAGCGCCATTTTATTAAAAATTGCCCAAACTCTTTCAATATTGAGGTTGTGTAAATTTCGCCTCGCCAAAATTATTCCTTCTAAATCATATTATCAGTTTTTTCGCCATTTAGATAAAATCTAACGTAGGTAGAACGTATATGCATATAGTAAAATTTAGAAACAAGTACAGTTTTTTTTTAATTTACTCCTATAGCTCTAAAAATTCAAATAATACTTTTCTGAAAAAAATACTATCAATGTTTTGCATAATGTTTAATATGAGTAATTTATTTTTGCAAATATAGTATTGGAACTATTTTAGATTATAGTACAATAAATTTTAAATTGTGGGTAAAACTTAATATTTGTAAATATTACCTGCAATTGCTGCAAGTACAGTGTAATTCAATTCGAAATTCATTTTCAAAAAAGCCTATTATCCATTATATTATAGCAAATATTTTATATCACTAGACAACCAATGTACATAATACAACTTTTTCCCGTATTATAAAGTTTATGTTCACACGAATAATTCAATGGTAACAATGTAGTATACCACCGTTTTATGAAGTACGTATTTTGTCCACTTTACTCTAGCGTACGTGTCCTAATATGTTTTGTTAATTTAAAAGGCATTACACGATTAGATTTACGTACTTGAACCACAATTTCCATTTTTCTATTCGTCATCCTTATTAAGTTGATATCCACATAAACGTATCTAAGGTGTACCTATATCAGAATCTCCTGCGTCATATTCGCATTCGAGTGAACATAATAAAGCTATAGAATAATTATTTTCGAGATATTACAAGGTTCATTAAATCATAAAATTTTGCATTTTGAATATAGCGACGTCTTTCGGCACAAATGGCCTTATAGGTCAGGAAATATAGAGTTGGACGCGACTTTTTGTTTCGGCAAGCTGAATTTATCACTATAGATGCTAAATATGTACAATAATATACAATAACATATATTAGTTTCCACAGTCATAAAAATGGGGGGAAGATTGTTTACAGGTTGGTTAATTGTATAATTTTTACGTAAATTCACGTTTTTCGCTTATATCTTTTTTCCGTTTCATGAGAAAACAGTAAAGTACTTTTTTTTCGTCTTCAAAAGACCTACAAAACTAGCCCTCGAGCGTCAAAAAATATTGATTAGATCAAAAGTTATAAACAGAAGAAGTTTATTTATGACTTTCGAATTAAAACATTTATAAACTGCGTTATTATTACCAGAACGTTTTGGCATCGCATCCTCTCATTCCTTATCACTGTCTAATAACTCACACGAAATCTGGAATCGGTAAGTTGAATAGTTTACAAGTTATGGCCTTATAAACAAATTAACTAATTTATTAGTCTGGACGATCACGAACATCTTCCACAAATGCACAGATTTTTTTCATGGTAGATTCCATAATAATACATTGAAATCTATATATTTTTTTTAAATTTCAAATTTGCAACCTGGAAGTTTTTTTATTTTTTAGTATTAGTTGCAAAATGAAATATACGACGTACGCGCTTGATATAGTTATATATCATATATTCAGAAAGCTTATGAAAAAAGCTTTACGTTAAAAAAATAGTTAAGATTCGTTGAAAAACAACGAAGTTACAGACTCAAAGTTGACGGCCTATTGTCAAAAGTCAGTGGGTCGCTCGATTTTTTGGCGAGCCATGGCGCGGCGGAAGGGTGGGGGGACCGAACGACAGCAAACATCGCATTTGAAAAAACTAGACTAGAATAGAACTTTTCTTTGGAACTATTTACGATAAATCGATCATTTTTTTTAACTTGATACTACGTTACGAAAGGAATCTATTGGAATTGCTCAAAATTACGAAAAATCATGAGAAAAGTCATTGATTTCATTAAACATTATAAGTGAAATTATTGTTGCATTTTTATTTAGGAAAAGATTGGAAAATTTTTATGTAAAGGATAAATGACGTTTTATAACGTACATAAATATTACAATTATGTTCTTAATGTAAAATGAAACAGTATTTTTATTTATGACCTGGCGCGAATTTACGTAAAAATTATACAATTAACCAACCTGTAAACAATCTTCCCCCCATTTTTATGACTGTGGAAACTAATATGTTACTGTTCATAATATTTAGCTTCTATAGTGATAAATTCACCTTGCCGAAACAAAAAGTCGCGAAATTGTTATTTCCCAGCTCTTTTTCCTGGCCTATTAGTATACTTAAGTACACCGACACACAAAAAAAAGTGCGAAGATGTAGCAGTACCAATAACTAATGCCAATAATTTATAAAACACACTCTTAGTCAAAGTTTGGCTCCTATAAGGTTGGTCATTTTAATTTATAGAATATCAGGTACACAAAAATGTCCAAACCCAAAGATGTGACATATCATTTCCGACGTATTTTGATGAGCTGAGAACGATCACGTAGTCAAAATTTAAGTGCCACCTGCAAACTTCTTGTAAGATGTTTTAGATTAAAGCTAAATACAAATTTTACAAGATACTGACCGGTCGTGTATAAATTCTGACTACGGTATCATTTTCAGCTGGAAAAAATATGTCAGAATTGATATGTCAGATATTATGTATAGCAAAATCAATTTGATACAATGATTGAGCAATTTTTGGGTCCGTTTTCACCTCAAATATAGATTTTGCAAGATACTGGCAGGATTAAAATACGTCGCAAACTCGGTGCTAAATCAAAAGGATCGGTGGTTGCAGAACGATATGAGTTGAATTTTTGGCGAAATGGTCTGGAATTGTTAATGCTGTGTGAGCCGGTGCATTATCATGATGCAAAACCAAGAGTTATTTGTCCATAATTCCGGCCTTAAGCGGCGAATAGCATCACGCAAAAAAGGCATAACCCTCAAATTCCTTGTAATCAAAGAAAACTGTCAACATAACCTTGATTTTTGAGTGACTTTGGCGTGTTTTTTTCGGTGTTGGTTGACTTATTGCACGATATTCACATGATTGATCGGCTGTATCCCGGTCGTAAGCGTAGATCCAAGTCTCGTGTTCAATAATGATGAGTTTCATGACATCTTGGTAGTCAGAAATCATTGTTTCACAGATGTCAATGCGCCGCTGTTTTTCCAAAACTTGAGCGTTTTTGGAACCAAACGAAATGAGACACGTCTAAGGCACAATAAATCTTTTAAAATGGTATTTACCGTATCTTTTGAAATGCCAACAGTATCAACAAGGTATCTTATTGTTAATCGATGGTTTTCGATCACAAGATCTTTGATTTGATTAACGTGTTGTTCATCAGTTGACGTCGATGGTCGTCCGGGGCGCTGTTCGTCCTTAACGCTTTCTCTGCCTTTTTTTTATACATAACCTCATTATTAAAGGCCCTCTGTAACATCCTCAACGTTTCCGCGGCAGAATATTCATTCCGCAAACAAAATTTAATGCAAATTCTTTGCTCAACAAAATCAGACATATTGAAAATCAGTAAACTCACTTTCGTATGTTGACAAAAACACGAGTAGCTTTGCAGCAATTGAATATACTGACTTTGTAACTCTGCATAGATATCAAGGACAGTACTACCAACCTACAAAAATATAATAGTATGTTTTCATAATATTCGCGAATTCTAAATAAGTAATCACCTTATTTTTTCGTAATGCTTGTGTACCAAATGCCATAGAAAATATCAACGCGTATTTATTTTGAAAAAGCAGTATTACAAAAACTGTGTGGGCCTTGGAAAGGAGCAACTGTCAGTTCGGAAACTAGGCTTGCTCCGTGATGGCTTGGCAAATTCCCGTAAGTGGTACAGTCGTTTGTGGACGATATTTTTCATTATATTTCACATCCTTTCTTCTATAATGGATATTGGTATATTCCATTTAAGTACCATACACGCACAGACGTTTAAAAAAAAGTGTTTTGTAACAATTCGTTACTCCGTATCGATAGTTCATGTATCTATGCCGCACGTGCAGTAATTATTATCAATATTAATAAAACAATATTGCAAATATTATAGTTAAGTAAGTAGTCTATGGCTTATACATATATTATAATCGTAAATTAAAAAAAAACAAACGATTTCTATTTATTTATAAAAAAAAAAATTTTAAAAACATGCTTACGATATTTATAAAATTTATAAATATATTTACTTAATTAAATGCAAATATAATACATGAAAACTTCAAGCTTAACAAATATTACAGAAAATTATATATTTCTGTAGAATGTATTTAGAGATAAATTAATATTAATGTAAAAAGTAAAAACATCATGATCCTAATATATCCTGAATCTCCCTAAAGCTTTTATCTTTTGTTTCTGGAACAAAAACTATAGTGAAAACGATTGTAAAAGCGGACCAACATGCGAAGAACCAAAATGCACCGGCAGTGGTTAACAAATCGACCAAGCTGTTGAAGAACTGGGTTACTAAAAATGATGTTAACCAACAGGAACTTGAAACAGCTGATGATGATATTTGTTTACAGCTAGTGGGAAATAGTTCTGCTCCGATGGTCCAAGGTAAAACGGACATTCCCGAGGAGAAGAAAAATAAATAGGATAATAAACTGGCAAGTGGTAACCAGAAAAGTGGTTTAACGTTAATGCTCGTGGAGTCATGCATATAGAAGTATGTTCCCAACATCGCTAATGAAAAAGTCATTCCTATAGAAGAAAAGACTATCAAAGTTTTCCTTTTGAATTTGTTGATTGCTAATGGGGTAATGAAGCTTGCAAAAATTATTGCAATTCCATTAATAAGTGATGATATATCAGAAGATAGGGTACTACCAGAAGCGTCAAATATGGGTTGTAAGTAGAAGCTTAATGCGTTAACTCCTCCAAGTTGCTGCAATGATATAAGTGACACGGAAATGATCAAGGCTTTTCTCAGCGCAGGATTTCTTATTATATCCAGAAAATGCATCCCTTCTTCTCTTTTGAATTTTTTTTTATGTGATCTAGTTCTCGTTCTATTCCTTTCTTATCTGTTGATCTTAAGTACATCAAGGATTCTTCCGCTTTATCCTCTCGATTTTTCGTTAACCAGTAGTAAGGGGTTTCGACTCCTAGCAAAAGGAATAAAATAAGGAATAGCACAGGAAAACAGGCCAGAATCAAGTTAAATATTAATACAGATAAAAATGGACCTATAACATAAGGGAGCAGATTTCCCAAGGCCCAGAAGAAAGTCAACGATGTAGATAAAATCCCTCTATTTGAATCTTCACTTATTTCTGCCATATACATAGGCAACAGAGCGTATCCGCCACCTACAGCTATTCCTCCAACCAGTCTACCAAAATAATAGTATACCACGTCATTACCAAACGCGAAACTGAGGTATGCTACAAGATGCGGAACCCCTATGCACAGAAGAGCTGTTTTTCTACCAACTTTACCTGCCAAAAAACTAAAAGGAAACGGGCCTATTATGGCTCCTATGTTTATTAATGATCCTATCAGTGCATCTTGGTTGGAGTTGATGGGTTCGTCCAGTGGATTGATGGATGTGTCGTTGGAGTATAGTTTTTTATGTATCGGGGATGTCCAGGCCATAGTGATGTCACCAGAAGTCGCCAGGAAGCCAACTGAAAATAGTAAAAAAGCGTTGTAAAAATCAGAGTGTGACAGAGACGTGGTTAATTCCTCTCATCAAAAGAAATAAAAAAAATAGAGACATTTTTTTCGTAAAATATGATTCTTCAAAGTATCACACAGTTCTTGGTAAATTACTGAAGAACCATGGAAGATATAAAGTACCTTCCTATAAAATTTAACCAAAAACTGACCGTTACGTTGATATTAGGAGCTAATATTAACTATCAAAAAAAGTTATTTAATGAATAAATCATTTTCTGTTACGGATTTGTTTCATTTACGAGTAAAGCTTGAGACAACGAATAACGTCTGATAATCGAATTTTTGGTGGAGGCGCTGATACGGAACTGATAAATGATTAATTATTTTATACAGGGTGTTTCTAAAATAGGGTTCCAAACTTCTGCTGCGTTTATAACTCATTAAAATAAGCCAAAAAGTTCCTATTAACATGTGCCCTAAAACGCACCCTTAGGAAGTTATATGCCCTTAAAAGTGCTCAAACAAATCTAGTTTTTTTCTGTTATTGACAAAACGGTCGCAAATAAATAGAAAAAAAATTATGGGTCTTACATAACTTTTTACGTTAAATAACATGGGCTACTCCGTTTTTCGACATCTTTGTCCAAATCGATATTTCCAATGATTTTCGAGTAAATTGAGTTTGAAGATTACTCTGCTCTTTAAGTTATTAGGCCAAAAATTACAAAAATCTGTTTACCATGGCAAATAAAAGACTGACGTTGCCATAACGCTTAACAATTTAAGTTATTGATAAACTGTCAATTGAGCTTTGCAGTGTTTAATTAGTAAAAGTGGTGAGTGGAAAATTTAAGTATACAACATTATTGCAACTCATAAAATGGAGTCATATTCAAACACGGAAATGGCAGATATGCACTTTATGTACGGCCGTGCGGCTGGAAATTGATCAGAAGCGAGGCGTCTGTATGCGGCAGCATACCCGAATAGAAGACTTCCTTCTCGACAGGTATTTCAGAGGATCCATCAACGTTGAAGAGAAAATGGTTCGTTCCAATGAAGAGTAAATGATCGTGGCAGAGACAGATTTGTAAGAACACCGGTGATGGAAGAAAATGTATTGAGAGCTGTGCAGGACAATCCAAGGGTTAGTGTAAGAAGTGTCGCACGTATGCATAACATAAGTTTTTCCGTAGTTTGGAGAATTCTTTGCGAACAACTACTTCATCCTTTTCATATCTAGCGTATTCAAGCTTTAAATCCGAATGACTACGAACGACGTCGGCAGTTCTGCCAATGGTTTTTGCGAAAATCGAGGCGAATTCCGAATTTTGCATCTCTTATTTTGTTTGCGGATGAGGCAAGCTTCAGTAAAAATGGTTATGTCAATTTTCATAACGCTCATGAATGGGCTGATGAAAACCCACACAGCATATTTCAGTCCAGACATCAGATTCGGTTTTCCGTCAACGTTTAGGCAGGCATTTTAGGCGATCGGCTAATCGGACCGTTTGTGTTGCCTAATCGATTGAATGGTGAGGATTATTCCAATTTTTCAGTTAACGACTTGCTAGGACTTTTGGAGGATGTCCCTTTAATTGAACGCCAAAGCATATGGTTTATGCAGGACGGGGCGCAACCTCATTGCGCCGAGGAGGTCCTGTTCCCTGGCCTCCACGTTCCCCTGACCTTAACACCCTGGACTATTTTTTGTGGGGTCAACTTAAGGCAAAGGTTTATAAAATTCCAATTGAGACCATTCAGCAACTACGGGAGGAAATTGAAACCGCGTGCATGGAAATAAGGCAAACACCTAGAATTTTCCAAAGAGTTCGCAAATCATTGAAGCGTCGAGCTAGATTACGCATCGAAATGCAAGGTGGTCACTTCGAGCAGTTCTTGTAAGTTAATTTATTATTACTAATTTTAATCCCATTATTTTTTTTTCACATTTCGCTATTGTCTGCAGTAGTAATTAGTTCTTTAATTAATAAGTGTATCTGTAAATTTAAATAGTCTTAGTTTATGTCCTAAATTATTTATTAAATGATCGGATCCTTCATAACTGCAATTTATTTAAATAATGTTACTGAATTTTCAAACTCAATTTACTCGAAAACCATTGGAAATATCGATTTGGATAAAGATAATATTTTTTACGTAAAATTGTTAAGATTTTATAAATATGTAGAGAAAATTGTAAAAAAATTGAAATAAAAAAAATTACGGGCCGAAAACCCCCTTCGCCAACCTAAATGGAACGCATATGATTTGCATGTCGAAAAACGGAGTAATCCATGTTATTTAACGTAAAAAGTTATGTAAGACCTATACATTTTTTTCTATTTATTTTCGACCGTTTTGTCAATAACAGAAAAAAAACCAGTTTTGTTTGAGCCCTTTTAAGGGCATATAACTTCATAAGCGTGCGTTTTAGGGCACATGTTAATAGGAACTTTTTGGCTTATTTTAATGAGTTATAAACAAAGCAGAAGTTTGGAACCCTATTTTACAAACACCCTGTATAAGCTATCTTTCTTTATAGTCCATCTGTTTTGGGTTGGGTAAAACACATATGAAATTTTCAAAATCAAATTTCTAAAAATCTAAAGCCTTTGAATACTTGAAAATTTCACCACAAAAATAAAGTTAAAGTTAACCCTTATTTACAGCAAAACTATAAGGGCTGTTTTTTTAATTAATAGGTTTGTCATTCCGAGTACATTCAGTCATTCCAGATACAAATTTTCAAAATTTGCATTCACGGGCGTCCCATTTAAAATGTCGCTCAAAGATATTCAGGACCGCGTGAAATCAATGAAATATTACTGGTGGAGGAAACAAACACTCAGCTACTCCGATCTGATCTGAATTCTCGAGTACAAAAATGCTTTGAGTATTGCACCCATTGCCAAGGGCAAATATGTAAAAATGCTTACCAAACAGTGGAAGTAGACGAGTTCGAAATCGATTATGAAGAAGACATGTCAGAAGAAAGTGCAAATGAACTCGACAATCAGATTTCAGAGTCGTTAGAAATGATATTTTGCAGTTGCAGGATGAGGAAATCGACGACGAAATAGATTGTAATAATACTGATGAGGCATGTGAAAAATCACCAACTAGTAAAAGAATTAGATTAGATTAAATGTAAATAAAAATTAAAATAAATAGTTTAAAATTTGAAAAATCAAGAAAAGTGTGTACTTGTGTGTTTATTCAAGTATCCAAAATATTCTTATATTTTTTTGTATAAATAAAAAATAAATTTTAGATAAATATTTTACAAGTAAACAAAAAAATTAAAATTATAATTATTCACAATTGATGTGATTAATAATTTTTGAAATATTTTTAGAAATTTATCGTACAACTAAAAATTAATGCCAATTTTCAGTTGTTTATTTAAATAATTATTGTTTAAACAATTTTATAATATTTAAACAAACTTACTAGTATTACCTGGTGCAACATGCAAAAATTTTGGTCGTGAATATTAACATAGTAAATAAATAAACATAATAAATTAATCATTTTTTAAAGTAACTGTTTATCGGCATGTCAAAAGTCCAATAATTAATAATAAAAGGTAGTTGAAAATATGATAATTGAATTTTTTAAGTTGCGAGACATCGATTTAAAAAAAAATCATCGAAATTGGTCCATTAGAAGCTGAGATAAGTGAAATTTTTCCGAGCGTCGCAGTTTTGAACTCGAGAATTCAGATCGGAGTAGCTGTGTGTTTGCTCCCCCCACCACTGATACCTCATTGATTTCACGCGGTCTTGAATATCTTTGAGTGACATTTTAAATGGGACGCCCGTGATTGCAAATTTTGAAAATTTATATCTGGAAAGTACTCGGAATGACAAACCTATTAGTTCAAAAAACAGCCCTTATACCCTTATAGTTTTGCTGTAAATAAGGGTTAACTTTAACGGGCTATAACTCCGAAAATAATGGGCGGATCATCAGGTTTTTTTTTAAATACTCGTCTTTCCGAGTACTTTCAAACCATATTTTAAAATAAAAAAAAATTTAAAAAAACATTAAATTATTGCAATTGTTTATAAGCGTGAAAATTGCGAAAATGTTTAAACAATCACCACGGCTCACCTAATCGTCCGATTTGAATTTTTCAAAAACCATTTTAAAGCTTGAGAGCTCTTCTTTTTGTGGTGAAATTTTCAAGTATTCAAAGGCTTTAGATTTTTAGAAATTTGATTTTGAAAATTTTTTAATTTAAAAAAAATAAAAAAAATTAAACAATTATTATGTAAAAACTATGGAACCGAATTGGATGAAATTTGGTGTGATGATTCTATGCACTAAGAAGTTTAATTGGGAAAAGTATGAAGATCCTAGGTATTA